CCCTGGGTCTCTTCTAAGAACCTTAATTCTACTCATGAATCAATCAACATCCAAAGTCCCCACTGCCTGCTATCATCACGGAGGTTCAAATGTCAATGTGTGAATTTGGGGAAGAACAGAATCATTCAGCCCTCAACATAACTCAAAAGTCTTCTGAAGATTGCTTACATCTTTCCAGAAGTCTTAGTTTAGACACCAAATGAGGTATAGTTGAAGGCAGATACTACCTACAGGAATTGAGGGGAAGAAGAGACTTTGGAAATAGCCAGACATGAGTTCCAGACTGTTTCAGCTATGTGGCCTTGCACAATCTGATGAGTTTTGAGAAAATTTAAACATAAATATCTACCTGCATGGCTCATATTGAGATCCAAATGAGGCTGTATAAAGCAAGTAAAGACAGATCCTTGTATCGTGCCCAGAACTCCATAGTCACTGCTGAAATTATTATTTTCACAAATAGTTGCTTCCCCTGATTCTGACTTTCTTGGTCTCAGTTTGGGAGATTTCCTCCATGCTTTTTAGCTGGGAGATCAGCTGGAATGAAAGACAAATCTTCCTCAAAGACCACCTCCCTTTTCTGTGGTTTGGGATATCCAGTGGGAAGAAGGAATTGGATAATAATCAGTGGGTACGAAGGAATTGGATAATAATCAGTGGGTGCAAAGGACAAATAAAAGTTAAAAAAAAAAAAGCACATCCAACTAGTGATTAGAAAATGCTGTCAGGTTAAGGACACATCACCCATATCTCCATATGCATTTTAAAAATTAGTTTCCCTTTAGAGTTGAACACTTGCCATGTGCTAAGTATATACTATGGCAGAACACAAAGACATAAAGAGATTACAAGATAGCTGGAGAGGCAATGACAAAGCCTTAAAAAGCTAAATGACAATACAGAAATGTAAGCACTTCTACATAATAGATATAAATAAAAGGGCTGTGAATTCTGTTGTTTGCCTGCTTGAGTTTGGCTAAGCAAGAGACATTATAATCTGAAAATGAAGGTCAAGAGATATTAAAATTTTTAGATATTTTGAAAAAACTGTAAGAGGCCATTCAGTGGTAGCAGTGGGCTCAAAAATCTGCTCTTGAACCTGAAAGTGAATGATGCTGAAAATAAGTAATAAAGGAAAAATATGTGTAGGCAATCTTTTAATAGAACAGTATCACAATGGCCAAACATTACCTGAAAAATTATGTGGAGTGTACAGTTGTAGAAATAAGACTGATGATAATGGATAGTTAAGGAAACTCAGGTATTTGAGGTTGAGCAGTATCAACCAACCAATCCATGTCCTTCCTAGAACCTCAGAATCTGACCTTGTGTGTAAAAATGGCCGCCACAAATGCAATTAGTTGAGATAAAGTTATACTGGAGTAGGGAGGGGCCCTTCCAATATGAACTGTATCCTTATAGGAAGAGCAAAAAGAGATAAAAATGCACAGAGCTAATGCCATGTGGAGACACAGAAACCCAGGGAGAGTGTTGTGTAATGACACACATAGAGATGATGCATCTAAAGTCAAAGAATCAGAGGTTGAAGGGGGAACGTAGAACAACTTTTCCCCTAAAGCCTTCAAGGAAAGTATAACCCAGCTAACATGTTAATTTTGGACTTTGAATCTTCAGAACTGTGATACAATAAATTTCTACTGTTTTGATACCCAGCTTGTTACTACTCTATTTCAGAGACCCCAAGAAACTAATATGCAGAGTATCCCATATCTGTAGACTTTCTAGTTTCTACTAAAGAAATTATTTAGCTCACAGTTTGTGGAGATTTCAGTCCATACTCAGCTGGCTCCAAGGCAGAATGGCATGGCAGAGGAGCAACAGTTCATGACAGCAGAACTGTCATGACTTTGATTCTAGTCTTCTACTAGTACAGTGACACCCTAAGATTTCTAGCTCACTCTCAAAATTGTTATTTTCCACCAGACCCTTCTATCATCAAGAACTCTGATTGGATGAATGTGGACTCACTGCTTAAGTATCAGAAAGTGATAACATTGGTGACAGATGTGCATCCATGAGATACTTACTACAGAGACTGAGTCACTTTACACAACTGGTTCTCTGGGCATGGCCTTTAATGGGGATACAGCTGCCACCAGCATCGTTCCCTGAATCCTTGGCTAGCAAAGAGTTACTTTTGTTAGTTATTTTTCTCTTATTGCTGAGACAAAATGTATGATACCCAAAATTAAGGAAGGAAAGGTTTATTTAGCTCAGAGTTTGTGGAGGTTTCAGTCCATAATCAGCTGGCTCCAAGGCAGGGTGGCACAATAGAAGGGTAACAGTTCATGGCAGCAGAAGATGGCAAAAGCAACAAAAGCCAAAAGGAGGAGGAGCACAGAGAAAGGACTCTTTCTGTCCTTTACATTGTATGTAGGGCATGCCCAAACTAGAGAAGGTGTAACACACCCATAATCCTAGCATTGGACCATGAATCAATGACAAATTCTAGAAACCTGCCCCCATAATTGCTTGAGGCTGTGGGTGGACATCCAGACACAAACCGTAACAAAGCAGATAGTCATGTCCATCCCAGGCCACAGATCGTGTGGCCCTCACAGAAAGATAAAATACTCTGTAGCTCTCTAGATCTTAATTTGTCACTAGTTTTAACCCCAGGGAAATTTCTCCATAAATAGTATTTTTGGTTCCCTGAAAAATCATTCAGTTTGACTAGTTCTATAGCTCACATTTAAGAGAGTCCAGCAACTGTCTTCATATTTTGTCATAAAAGGCCCAGGCTAGTACTTTGGAAGAAATCTTTCATGGAATCCTCTATTGTTGGACCCTGTAGGTTTAGCCTACCACAGTAATCCTACTAAGCTGTGACTAGAAATGAAGAGCTGTTCTAGAGCCACCTGATCCCCAAGTACATGATCTGTTGGTCACCATACATAGAATTAGAAGACAATACTGCTGCTGTTTATGTCTACTGGTGCAGAAGTAACTGGGTTGGAATAACTTGCATCTAGAGCTATGTGTCTAACACAGTAGCTACTTAAATTAAACACGTATCTATTTAAATTTAAATTTTGATGATTTAAAATTAACTACAATTTAAAATTGAGTTCATTAGTTATACCTTCTCTTTTCAAGTACTCAGTAGCCATATATGACCATGCTAGAGAGCACAGATACAGAATATCTCTTTCTGAGCAGAAAGTTCTTTTTGACAGGTGGTATACAGTTATTTGCTTTCCCAAGCTTCCCAACACACAAGTTCTCTTCCTCTTTTTTGCTAAGTATAGTTTTCTTAAGATAAATATTGAGACTACTTAAACTCCATAATAAAAAGGAATCGGATTTTATTAACACTTACTATTAGAGATAATAAAACATGTCTGTTTCTAAAAAGATGAATATTTCCCAAATGTTAATATGGATATGAATCACCTAGGAATTTTGTGACACTATAAGTTCTGATTAAGCCAGATCTGGGTGGGGGGAGGTAATTCTGCTTCAGGTCAGTCAACTACACCTTTAATAGGGAGGCATCAACAGATATGACCCTGTGAATTTGAATCTTACTGCTGCACAGGAGATTAGGGAAATAAATGCACCAAGTGAATTTTACACAGAAAGACAAAAGCAAGGTGAAGACGATATTCCATAGTCTAACACCAGAAGAGGTGAGGCCAACCTTCCCCTCCCTGATTCTTTTGTGTGAATATGCTATAGCGAAGAAAGATAAGCTATCAAATCCAGCCAGGTCAAGGCTGCACTCTGCAGGCACAGTGTTCAGATTTGATGCTTGACTCCATCACTTTTTGGTTCTGTGTCCTAATGCAAATGATCACTAGGTCTCTGTTTCCCTATCTGGAAAATAGGAATACTGCTAGTACAGTTTTTTCACAGAGCAGTTGTTAGGCCTCAGTGTATTATATCTGCATTAGCAGATATAAAATGCTTAGAATAATGCCTGGTATATCATAAGCATTGTATATGGTGGCTAAGTCAATTAGTGAATTCTGCATTTTTTTATTTTAAAAAGAAATAAAACAACAACAAAAAAAGCAATATAGGATTTCAAGACAAGATGATAAGCATTTAATAATGGTTAGTATATTGCATATTGTTATCTTCAAAAGAGTTGCTCAGATTACCAGATATATGCATGCAAAACTGATCCACCAATATAAGCATTGACTGTTCCTTTCATTGAACTAATAGAATTAGTGGTACAATTATCTCAGCTATCTTGTGTGTGTGTGTGTGTGTGTGTGTGTGTGTGTGTGTGTACATATTTATAGTTTTTTCCTTTTCCTTTCCTTCTTTTCTCCATTCCCCTATTCTAGTAGTTCTTTCCCTTTGAGCAGTTTCTTTCCCTTTCATAGTATCTACTTTGGATGTTATTTACTCTTTCAGTTTTTTACACTAGGGAAACAGTATGGTGTTTATACATGTGAATCTGATTTATTTCACTTATGAGTATGGTCTCAAGTTGCATCCATTTACCTATAAAACCTCAAGTACTACTCAGCTATGAATGCCGCATTTTGCTTCTAGACAAATGTGTATGATTTATGCTGGATTAGACAAGTTGTATATTATTCAGCTCTAATGATAATTCTCTGATTTTACTAATCTCTCTTTTTGTGGATTAAAGAAGTATGAGACAATGTTTTTGACGAAAGGTTGGATTCACAAAGGTGGGCTCATAACTGACAGGAGTGGTCCAGAAAGGCCCAAAGCGGTTCTGGTGCATTTCCTGAACACAGCAGGTACTCAGCAGTACCCTGGCGACCTATACTAAGTGCTACCTTCTTGCCTACCTCCTTTAAGGGAACATTTTCCTACTGATCATGATTGGTATACAAATCTATGTGTGGAATTTGCAAGTTTTGTAGAATCTATCACTTATACATTAAAATATTTACCTTCCATTTGTAGAAACAAAATGTATACGTTATTGAAAAGAATTTGCCACAGGCTTGTGCCTGATAGTGATCATTTTTTAATTTTCTCTTCTCACCCCAAAGCAAAGAGCCCAGCCAGCAGCGAGTAAAAAGATGGGGCTTCTCTTTTGACGAGATATTGAAGGACCAGGTGGGGCGGGACCAGTTCCTACGATTCCTGGAGTCTGAATTCAGTTCAGAAAACCTCAGGTAAAGGTCGGTCTTCAAGGTTAAACTGTATGCAGAATGTGTGTGAAGGGATTTGCAAAACCACTCTCCACCTCTGTTTTTCAACAAGATACTATTAGGATTAAAATTCAAATTCCAGCTGATCTAGATAAGGTTGAAATGAAAACAAATTAAAATGTGTAGATTTGTGACTACCATGATATGACTTACACCAATATCAGCATTCTTTTTGTAGTTCTGTAAGTCTGGATGACATTTGTTCAAGTACCTGGAAACATGTCGTTGATAATAATTAAATAAGCAAATGCATTTGATGACACCATTCATTAAGTAAAATCAGAGAACCATGGAATTTCAGAGTGGAACACCAGCTCGCAGCTCTCCTCTCCCAGACTTCTGGATCTGGATCCCTGAATCTCTGACAAATGACACAGAAAAGAAAGGAGTCAACAGGCGAATTTCAGAATTCCAAAAAGCTATAGTAAATATCATTCCACAACTGGAGACATGACAATATGCAGTATGATCAAAGTATACAGTGACTGTTTAAATTTAAAAACATTATTATAGCAAAAATCACATTACCATTATCCCGTTCAAAATACTCCCCTTTTCTTTGAAAGCATTATCCTGTCATTGTTGCCACATTCTGAAGCAGTTCCTGAATTTCTCTGTCATGAATGTCTTTAAGAGGTATGATAAAATATATATAAATATTATATTAATATGTTAATACATATTATATATTTCTTCTGTCCAGTGCCATCCAAGACAAAGGCAAACTTAAAAAAAAATTATAGTGTGTTCTCATCCACCTTATTCACCAGTTCTGGCACTGTGAGACCTCTGATCTGTCCCCCAAAGTGAAAAACACCATGAAAGCCAAACATTTTGAATCTGTTTAGGACATCAAAGTAACCATGGCAGCACAAATAAAGATACTCACAAAAGAGACCCCCCAGAACTGCTTCAGAAAGTGGCAAAAATGATAAGTGTGTTCAAAGTGAAGGAAAGTATGGGGGTGGGGTGGTAATGGAGGTGTGTGTTTTACTGTAATCCATTTTTTAAAATTTAAGCATTCATCATACTTTTCAGCCACACTATAGTCAAGCTAATTGAAACATGAGGGTTTTTTTTGTTTTTTTTTTTTTTCCTGTTGGGGAGAATTCTATCAACTCCAGTGGTAATTATGCTAATTATCTGATGTCAGAGAGAATATCTGAACTATTGTTTCTGTTGGTCCATAATGCTTTATAGGAGAAATGCATCAGTAACTCCTATTTAATTGGGAGGAAAGGAACACTCAAAATATGGGGCCCAATATGATAGGAAAAGGAGATATATTAAAGCAAAAAGTACTTGGTCAGGAAAAATTAGGGAATTTTGGATTTATTCAGTCATTCATTGTGCTAGATGAAAAGTCAGACTTACGGAAATGTGACTTATCTAAGACCTAGAGATTTTGGCAAACTAATGACCATGGATAACAGGAAAGTTATTTCCCTGCCTCCCAGGTTCTCTTCTGTTTACTGGATTAACTTCCATATTCTAGAGCTATTTCTCAAAGAGTTTTAATAATTTTTACCTTTTAACTTCAAAATCAGACCATAGATGGGCATAACAATACATTTTTGCATCCCTAGCACTTGGGAGACTGAGGCAGGAGGATCGCAACTTTGAAGCTGTCTAAACCACATGGCAAGACCTTGTTTTAAACAATGAAAAAAGGTATAAAAGATACTTCAGTCCAAGTGCTACCCTCTCAAATATTAATATGCCAAATCCATGCTGTACACTTGCAGGCAGGAACCACTTCAATCCCATACATCAACCGGGTGATGTTTGTGACACATCTGTGTGATACCAAGCCCACCAGTGTGAGCTGAGGAACCAAGACAGTCAGTATGCATGATCTTTGCCTGCAATGACCTCATAGATTCCTGAGGAAAAAACACAAGAAATAGTTGGTTCTGTAATAGAGTATAAATAAGTGTAAACTCTAAAACCATTTGCAAGGAGAGAGGAATCAATGTTAAGCCAGAGTGGGAAATAAGCTAGACTTTGAAAGGTACATGAGATACTGGTAGATCAAAAAGAAGCACAGGGAATATTCTAAGTAGGGAAACTGAATAAGTCAAGGGGGCAGCATGACTGTTCCACATTGTGAGCTCCCAGGAAAATATGTAGATCCCAACCAACTGTATATACTGATGCTTTCTAGGCATCCCTGTATCTATTATAAACCAAGTAAGATGGAATATGTTATTTACAGGCTACATTACAGAGTTAGGTGTTATTCTAAACACATCTCAGAGTCTCAATTCAATTCCTAATGAAGTATTTGTAACAGAAGCCTTGACCTCTAATTCTCTCCACTAGAGTGGGACTCGGACCAGCCTCCCAGGCTGTGTGGGAAGCAGACCCCTCTGTGGCCACCTTGATGCACCCAGAAGGCACCTCTGTGTGATCAGCTCAATCCTGGTTTCTACCAGCACAGTCCCCTAGGAGCCATACCTAGGAGTCCTCACTTCTGCCCCACTTGAGTCCCCAACATGCAATGATAGAGTGGCCCCTTTACCTGACTCTTTCTCAGCCCAGAAGTAGACTCAAAACCCTTTGCCACCTTCACTCTTATAGAGAGTTTTAAGAATGACCACAGGGTCCCGTCACTGCAAGGGCCCAAGGGTGTCTCCTCACTCAGACTGCTGCTCGGCCCAAACTGGAGCAGTCATTCTGGAAAGCACACACATTAAATCACACTAGTCTCACAAAATATGCATGACACTTGGGGCACCAAGTGCACTGAGGAGTGTGTCCCTGGCAGGTGTTCAACAGTTCCTCCTGCCATTACCACTTTTGCCTCTGCCAGCCCCTTTCCGGGTGCCAGCAGGGCTATGTTTCATCTTGGATGAGAGAATATGTATGTGCCTATGTGGCTGTGCTGGCCCCCAGCATGCATGCATAAATCCAGACTTGAAGAAAGTCCCCTCTGATCTATGACAGGAAAGAGGATAAAGAAAATGGAATTGCAAAAAAGAGGAAGTATAGCCCAAGGGCTTCTAAAATCCTCTCTGGAGGCCAAATTCCATTCTTATGATATTCACTGTAATTAGGCATACAGAGGTAAACTCAGTCTTAAATCACACAACTTTAGGCCTCTTGGTCACTTGCCACAAAGTAGTTGCTTCCTTTCTCTCTGTGTTCGGCTCAGGACCTGTCACGACCCAGGTCTCAAGGATTCAGAGCTGATCATATTTTATGCTTTGTAAGGAGGACGATGCATGGGCAGACAGATGCAACTCCACCATGTGGCCTCTGTACACTGTGGCTCCAGAACGTTGTATGATGTGTCACAGCTTGACAATCCTGCCCATCTGTTGTGCTGGCTATTGCACTAGTCAGATGTGTGTCACTGTGACCAAGTACCTGAGAGTCAACTTAGAAGAAAGGCTTATTTTGGCTCACAGTTTCAGTCCATAATCACTTGGCTCCATTTCTTTTAAGCCCGTGGCAAGGCAAAAACATCATGGAGGCAGCAAAGACATCACAGAAGAAAGATGCTGAGCCAGGGAGGACTGGGCCAAGGACCAGATATAACCCCATGGCCACATCCTCATAATCCACTTCCCTTCAACTGGGTCCTCCCCCTCATTTCCATCACCTCCCAATAATGCCATCAAATTGTGACCTTATCAGTGGAGGCAGAGCCCTCAAGATCCATCTTCTGAAAGCCCTGCCTCTGAACATATGAAAGTTGGGGGGATATTTGCAATCTAAACCAAAACAGCTGTAGTTAAGTCCTCATCTCTACTGTCCAGGATTGCTCAAGCGCGTAGGCTACTGGCACCCAACAGAGAGACTGTCTAGAGTCCAACTGGGCACACTACAAAGTACCTGCACACTTCGGTCTCCCCATCTCCCTGTATCCTAGCAGAGAGCATGTTTAGACTCAACTCCTTTCCTCAGCACAGAAGAGTGGCCAAAAGCCATATTTAAGCCAGAGCTTCAGCATGGGGAGTGAAGGAGCCCCAAAGTGTCACCTGGATCTTTTAAAGAAATAAGTCTATGATGATGGAATGTGACAGAGAGTCCCTTCTGATCATTTTGTTCTGGATGAGTCCGTAAGATGTGTAAGAGCTGTCATGTCCAGCCCTTACACATGGTGACAGGGAGGGAGCCATCTGTGACAGAGGCTGACTCTCTTTCCCTTTTCTAACCCACCTAGGGCCAAGTCCAGTGCTCCATTGTTACCAGATGGACCCACAGAGACAGCTGCATGCTGGGCACTGCCGGAATTTAATTAGCTTCTCACCCACAAGGCAGGAGCCTTATAGTTCTAAAGCAGGGAGTGCCATAAAGCTGATGACCTCAACCTCCCTGTTCTGTACATTTGCCAGTGTGGTGCCAGCCACCCCTTACCACCTGCCCTCACCTCCACCTGGTCTTCTCTATACAAATTTCTACTCCCCACTTGACACCTACTGCTGCATGGCAGGGCATGAGTTAAAAATCAAAACCTGCAGTAAAGAGTGTCCCCCCGTACATTTTTTATGAGCTGTAACGTCTCCTGAGAGAATGTAGTTGTTCTTCTAACCTGCAGATTGATGATGTGAGTTCCACATCGTGTCAGCTGAAGCGAGAAGCAATTAAAAGACAGCACCATGTGTGTGTTTGAGGGTAGGGTGCCAGGTCTGCCTAGATAGCTCTGTCCTAGCATCCCCCCAAGTCCTAGGAAGCCTCAGAGGTTCACTAGGCCCCGTGGGATCCCCCTCTAACAAAACACATGATAATCAGAACTGAGCTATCCCAACAAATCTGCAGCAGTTTGGCGACTGCCTGGGGAACACAGCCCACCTTGTGCAGTGCTGATGGTGGTTGCTAAATGCAGGGACCCAAGAATTCGAGGTCCAGCAGGCACTAACGTCAAGTTTAGTCTATTGTTCTGCATCTCTGATTGACCAGCAGAGGGCACAGAAACACTTTCTTCTGCCGCGGAGTTTGCTTTTCTCTGGCAATGAACCCAAAGCTGTATTTTCTAACCCATGAAGATCTTAGTTTGTTAAAAGATAGCTAAGCTGAGGGGTTTCCTGGACTTCCAGGCGGCCTACAAATTGATCAGTGATTCATATTTCTCTGGCTTCATCCAGCCTCAAGAAGCAAACTGCACCGCTGCTCCTCAGCATCCAGGGAGAAATGGGACCACCTGAGGCAGCCCTGGGACTGCCCTGGAGTTCCATCCATTCGCTGTTCACCTGGCTTTGCTCCAGTGGCTCCTGAGCCTCACTGCCCTTCCCTAAGTCCAGTTTCCCCATTTGCCTTCACTTCCAACCATCACCACCAGGCACATGCTGGCCCCAGCTACCTGCCTCCTGCTGCTCTGATGATTGGCAGCACCTCAGGATGTGGCAGGACAGGTGGTCTCCCCAATACCCTGGAATCTTGGACCTGCCAGTCACCATGACCCTCTGCTGCCAGTGTGAGGGCTTAGTGCAGGATGGGTGAATTTGACGCTGCTGCTGGCGTTTGACTCCCCACCGCATCCTCAGAGGAGATACACCTGCAGGCTTTTGATAAGAGCAGCCGCTCTGCAAGCTTCAGTGGGCCTCCCTTCTGCAGTGGAGACGCAGAGACGCTTTTGTGGCTGCTTGGTGGGAGAGCAGAGAGTGGCCTGAGCTCCGAGGGGCTGGAAGATGGCAAGCATAATCTGCAGCCTGTTCTAAATTTCAAATTGACACTGTGATAGTAAACACGTATGGGTTGTCAGAATGCTGTTGTGACAGCATTTTTGCTGTCACCTGGGAGGGACAAGGCAGGTCATCTCCAAGGCTGACTGAAGGCTGGGCTGAGCCCTGTGTGTGCAGGAAGAGAAACTGCTGTGGAGGGCAAGTCACCCTGACCCTCTCCTCCCCTCCTCCACTCTCCATCGCCTCCTTCCCTCAGCTCCTTCCTCACCTCTTCCTCTGCCCTGCCTATTGTTTCCTTTTGTGCTTTTTTTAAAATCTTGGATTTATCTGATAAAGGGAACATTTTCATGCAAAAATTTGTTAAATTTGCAAAGACATCAGCTCCAGAGCTTCTCTGTAGCCAGCTGAGCTGAGCAATGTGCATTAATGTGACTCCCAAATCCTTCTACAAAGGATCTGGAAGCCTCAGGAGCCACGGGGGGCCTTCGGAGCCCAGAAACCACAGGGGTTTTAGGGCCTACTATAGGAGCACAAGGACTGGAGAATTTCTGCTCAGAGCAGACTGGAGCAAGGGACAGACATGACAGAAAGTGACGTACCATGTGACAGTGATAGAGGAGGCAGGAAATCACCCATGTGTCATCCATTTGAGTGAGAAATTTCAGGGATCTGATAGATTGGAAAGGACAGGACACTGGCCCAGAAAGTTCCTTGCAGCTAGAGATTGAGCCCCTCAGAGGCAACTCCGCAGGCAGAGGTCGTGTGTGTGCTTGCTGAAGACTGCTGACCTAGGCTTTGGTACGTTGCCCCTTAGCATCCCTTTCCAGGCCTTCTTTCTGCAGTGCTGGGCTTTTGACATTGTCAGCCTGCCAGTCAGGCAGGTCTCACAGGCAGAAAACGCCCTGCAGGTCTCTGCTTGTCAGATGACCTTCTCCACCTCTCACCTCATGGCAGACCTTAAAGGTAGATAGAGAGCCCAGAGGACACCAGGGAAAGGGGCCAAGAGGCAGAGGAGATAAGCGCATTTCAAGGGCTGAGCTGAGTGGTCTGACAGGTTAGCATTCCTTGTGAAGTGAAACCCTCTGGTTAAAGAACCCCTGGCCTCCTCCCCCTGGCAGCCTGGAGGTTGAGAGCCCCCAGGACCTGCGACAGAAACAAGAAGGGCTGGTGTTGAAGAACAGTGATGAGATTAGCAAGAGCCCTGGTCACTTCTGCACCATCCACTGGGAGGAGAAAGAGCCAAAATTTGAGGGGACAAACTGGGCAATATCGAGCCTTTGGCTGCCACTCCAGTACACCCCTCCATTCCCCACCCAGGGGTATTTCAGAGTTAAGTGTGGAGGAGGAGTTTTTCAGATCTGTATCATAGCTCCCTCTACCCACTTCGTGGCCATTTCACAGTTGAAGAAAGATGCACCTAAAAAGCACAGCAGTTCTAGACAGTGCAAGCCACAGCCAGGATGAGGGCAGGACAGGATGTGTTCCTGTCCTTCTGATCATTCCCTCCTTCCTCGCCTTGATCTGTGCTCTTCAAGATCAGTGAGAGAATCATGGGACTTTTCTGTAAGAAGATCATTAGAATCTTAACTGGCAAGTCAGAGGAAAGGCTGGAGCCCAGCATTTCAGAAGCAAACACCTGGGCATGCCTCTCCTTGAGAAAACGGGCTGCATTACCGAAGTCTGCCACTGTGTGGTGCCTTTGAGCCATGCACTTGGTTCCACAGACACTGAAAAGCCACGGGAAAACATGAGTAACATTTATTTATTTATTTTTAAACAAACAAAAAACCCAAGTATATCTTACTTTGGGTGAAATCTGAAGATAGATTTGATGCACTTTCCACTGTGTCGTGGTTCAGCTTTTCTTGTCCTCCCATTTCACTGACTAGATTACAGCAGGTGCTATTCCTGTGACTGTGGGGTCCCTCAGCCCTGGACCTGTTCTCCTATCTCACTGGGGAAACTGGCCTGCCCCTCCCCAGCAGGTCCCAGGTCCCACCGAAAGGCTGCCTCTGGATCACGGAGCTGCTGTTTGGGCTTTGGCTCTTGTTGCTACTGCCCTCAGCAGAAAAGAGCTCATAGGCGGCTCTGCCAAGGGCAGCTTCCATGCAGATCCTGAGGGATTATGGAGAGGCAAATGGAAATGAGCAAAAGACTTTTCTTTCTGGCACTCTCCCGAGAGGTCTCCCATGTATGCCCATCAGTTGTGTTCCAGATTAGCCTACCTTGGATCTAAAAGTCATTCATTGCGTAGCTACTATACACCAAGCACTATGTTGAATGCTGACATTGTGAATGGCTCAGTTTCTCCATCTCTCACGAGTGGTTTGTTCATTCAAGCTCAAGGATTCTTTATGATTCTAGGATTCTACCTGCTTCTGTGATCTTTTCTTCATTTTGATAGCTCCAAGTGAGATCCCAACCAGATGTTGCAAAGGGACTCATACAGAGTAGATGACAGTGGTTCTCAAATGGGTGATTTTTGCATCCAGGCAAACATTTGGGTTATCATAACTTGGCTGTCGACATCTAGTTGAGTAGAGGCCAGAGCTGCTGCATAACTTCCAGCAATGCACAGAGCAGTCCCTAATCCCCCCACCCACCCACCCTCACCACAAAGAATCATCCAGCCAGAAATGACAGTTGTGCGGATGTTGAGCTATCTTGATGTAGAGGAAGAGAAATCTCTTGTTGGTCACCCAAACCCCACTGATCTTTCAACATGGCTTCCATTTCCATCCTTCATGGTGCTGGACCAGTTTGTCCATTCAGCAATCCCCATAGATTGTATGACTCTTGTAACAGCATCAGGGAAGACTGGTGATGGTATAGGAGGATGCTTCAGCTCTGGGACTATCTCTATTAGGGTCCAGGTGGAACTGACTGTTTCTTGCTTCCCCTTTAGGTTCTGGCTGGCTGTCCAAGATCTCAAGAAACAACCCCTACAGGATGTGGCCAAGAGGGTGGAAGAAATCTGGCAAGAGTTTTTAGCCCCAGGGGCCCCAAGTGCAATCAACTTGGATTCTCACAGCTATGAGATAACAAGTCAAAATGTCAAAGATGGAGGGAGATACACATTTGAAGATGCCCAGGTTTGCTTATCCACACAAATGGTTAGGCTGCAAAGTGTGTCTTTGTCCACTTCACCACTCCAGCCTGTAACACAAGTCCAAGGCATAATACGTAGTTGGAATTTCAGGTTTTATTATTTATAAATTGATTAACAGAAACCACCCCAAATGGGTACACAATGAAGCTCCAATATGATTTTCGTAGGTTAGTTAGTTTTACTGCATAGAAACTGAAATTTGTAGTCACAGGTGATCCTTGACTCTTGATGGATGAGATTATATCCTGATAAACCCATCATAAGTTCAAATACCATTTATTGCAAATGCATTTAATATGTCTAGAAAAGCTTAGTATACACAGCACAATGCAGAGTACTGCTTGTTTCCATTCCTGAGCATTTGACTGACCACAAGCTGTATGTAGCTCTCTACTGCCCAGCATCTCTAGAGAGGATCACCCTGCAGATCTCTAACCCAGGAAAGATGCAAATTTGAAGTACAGCTTCTACTAAATGCCTATCCTTTATGCACTATTGTAAAGTCAAAAAATCATAAGACAAAGACTACATGTTTTATTTTTTCCATGAAATTCTCAAAATGTTTTTAAAAACCATGTCTTGCGATGGGTCAGTAGTAGACTGTAGAAGCCATAATCCAACATGAGTGGATAGAGTGAGCTGGCAGGGCCACAAGTCAATCCCACATCTGTCTATGATGTTCACACGTATAAGCAGCCTCTGCACTGCTTCTGTAGTGATTCCAATGTGTGCTTAATATTTTTTGAGCCCCTCCATATTCCACGCCCTAGGCTATGTGATAGAACACCACAAAGAACAGACAAAAGCCCTTGTCCTCAATAGGTTTTGGGCTAATGTAACAGACAAGTAATGGACAATTTCAGCAGTGTGAGAAGAGCCCCCAAAGAAGTGAACTCTGGGGTTAAATCAAGGTCACAAGAGGGACTTCCAGCCCTGCAGGGCACAGTGAGGACATTCACAGATGTTTATGGAGCTGGCAGAACAACAAAAGCCACAGAAGTTAACCAAACAGCAAGCTTCATCTTGATGCCTGGGAGGTGCTATTTCTAAAGATAGGCATGGGATCAGTTTCTTACTTCCTGTCCCCTAATTTTCAGTTCTTCTCATAGGTCCACGCTCAGTGAGAGGGTGTTATACTTTGACCCAGCTCCTCATTTCTCTTGCCTGTGGATTCCCCACTAAAGAATGTGGGTAGTTTTCTCTCCCACAGACATTATCTAATTTTGGAAACTTCATGTAGCTACGCCAGTGCAATAACAGCACGGGACACAACCAGTGTCTCTTTTCATTTGTGCAACACTTCAGAATGGAAACTCTTACCACTCTGAATGCCTTCTCCACCTCTTCTTTCCCTGATTGTGGACTCCATGCAATGCCTGTGCAGTGCAGATTCAGTTCTGCAGAGCTCAGTCTCTGCCTTATGAAACAACAAACCCCTCATGCCCTTTGCAACTTTGGAGCAAAATGTAGAATGTCATGAAAATTCTTTTTTCTGATATGTTTTTGTATCTGTACATGTATATGCTCCCAAGCACCATATTGGTATGGCTCAGTGAGGAGGTGATGGGGAAGCTTCATCTTGGGTGGATGATTTGAAACACAAAGCTCAACTCTCCATCATTCATGGGTCACCAGAAAAGAAATACTGGTCAGAACCATGTTGTCTCCAGTCAGCATTGTTTCTCAGAACATAACATCACGGGGGACTTGTTTTAATCTTTTATTATGGAAACTTAAACACATAGAAAAATGAAAGAGCAAATCAAAAGCCTTTATGCCCTTATCCAACCTCAGCTACCATCAGTCCATAACTCACCTCTTTTTAGCTGCATCCCCACCATCCTTTCCCCTTGCCACTGGGTTATAAGACTGGCCCTTTATTTTTAACATTACCACAACACCATTATCACAGCTTAACAATAACCTCTTAATGACATTGAATGTCAGACAAGTGCTCAAAATTATAGCAGTTCCATAAACGACTTTTAAAAATCTTTATTTAATATCAGAATCCAGGTAAGTCACACACATTGTAATCAATTGACATTTAAGTGTTCTTTAATCTGGAGTTCCCTTCATCTTTGTTCACCTTCCCATGGCCTATACAATGTATTTGTTGATAGAATTGGATCTCTTGTCCTGCCAAGATTTCCAGAGTCTGGATTTTTCTGATCACAGCTCTATGGTGCTGTTTAATATGTTCTTATATCCTCTGTATTCCATATACATCATTTGTTTGCTTGGTTTCGATGTTTAATAAGATTTAGGTTTGATTCTTGTCACCAAAACTGCTTCATGGATCTTGTAGTGTTTCTTTTCAGAAGGCACGTGACATCTAGCTGTCTGTTTTTGTGGTTTTTGGCAATTGTTGGTGTTTGTTGCTTAGGACCATTAGTTAATTAGGGGCTACAGAAAGATGATGCTCTTGTTCTATTATTCTCTCTTCATTTATTAACTGGAATACTTCCATAAAGAAAACTTCTCTCAACTACTCTTTAATTAACTAGTCACACAATTCATAGAAGTAAGGTGGATAAATTTTGATTCTTTCCCTTTATTGTATTTTCTAGTTTTGAACATAGTAATTTGCTATCATCTCCCTGATCAGAGTTTTTTTGTTTTTTAAAATATATTTGTGAACTCATAAATTTAACCCTTTTTATGTGTTTTAATCTCTTTTACTTATTATATATGTATTGATGCTTCAATAGTGCTGTATCTGATCATCTGATTTCTTACAATAAGACTCTAGTAGTCTTTGATGTTACCCAAATAGCAAGGAAACTAAATATTCAGATTCTGCCCTAGAGTTGCAAGAAACCATTTCTCAAATTATTCCCAGCCCCTCTTAGAGGAAAATGGTTTTCAGAAGTCTCTGAAATCTGAATACTTAGAAGTGTTCCTTTTTCTTGTTTTATTCATCATTTTCAGTGAACAGATTTAGGAGATCTTTTGCTATTGTTTATAGTACATCATGAGTTAATAGTGATATTTTCAATTCAAATTCAGGAGTACAAGGGATGTTACTTAACCTCTTCTTTCTTATCCATGACAACAATCTGGTTCTCAAGGATGATAACATAATTATTCATTTTCTTTCTTGTGTGTTACACAGAACAGTCTAAACGCCACAGTGATAATGTAGGAACAATAGTGTGATTATTGTCTCATTCTTTAAGTGCTGCATACTATTCCATCGTGTAGAGGCTGCATAGTTTACTCAACGAGTCCTCTCTTTTTGGACACTCATATCGTACTTAGTTCAAGAAAGATTTGATGAAAGAATATGAAAAGTTAGCACACTGTGTCTTGACAGGATTTTGAACACCCAGCCTTCCGTAGGCTGAAGTTTTTCAGGTGCTTTCATGTATATTACAACCGATTTGCACAGCAGTCTTATGTTTGAAGACCTGCACAGATGTATCTTCCTCATTACCTGCTAGGATTAGTCTCCCAAGAATTCAATAAAACACTCTTCCTAAACCAATTCCTATTTTCATCCTATTCGCTATTGCTTCTGCAGTATGTTTCTGCCATAAATATACAAAGTGCCTCTTACTAACAGAGAGACCTCGGGCAAGTTATTGAAACCTCCTGAGTTTTCCTTTCCTCCTCTGTAGAACATGGATACAGTTTATGGCTGCAATAGGACCACATGAGACAAAACATGTCAACAATAGTGACTGGCTCACAGAAAACATTTCCTATTTTATCTTGCTAATGAAAACCTTCTTTTCTAATTCTTTTAGTGTTTAACATGTTCAATGAAACGTTAAAATAATTTTATGTATTATTTTCACCCATGACCACCCCTGCTCTGATATTCAGATATTTCTTTGATATCTTGATATCAATGGGGTTATGTCCCAAAAAACTGATAGTCAATTGAAAATGTCAAAAATTAAAAATACATTTACTGCATGTAACTGACCAAGCATCGTAGCTTACCAACACAGAATACTGGAGGGTATCAGTTCTTTCCTCTCATGACTGAGTAACTGAATTAGAACTGTGTTTTGCTTTTGCTGCCCAGCCCCACAAGAGAGAACTGTACCATGATTAGCCTAGGAATGGCTAGCCTAGGAAAAAACTACAATCCAGAGTTCAAAGGATGGTTTCTATTGAATGCATATAGTTTTTATACTACCACAAAGTCAAAACATTTAGGTTGAACTACCCATCATAAATTGGAGGCCATTTGTATTTTCTTCCTCACTTTGTGTGTCTAGATATGTGTTATACTTGCTATAACAAACAGGCTGCTACAACAAATACCACCAACCACATGGCTTAAATGGCAGATGTTCATTTATCACACTTCCAGAGGCAGGGAAATCGAAGAATAAGGTGTCAACATGTTAGGTTCCTGGTCAGGGGCTTCCTCCCGGCTTGTAGATGCCACCTTCTTGCTGTCCCCTTTCATGGCCTGAAAGGCTACTCTGTCTTCCTCCTTTTATAGGAGCACTAATCCCAGCCTGGACCCCCATCCTCATGACCTAATGCAAACCTCATTACCTCCAAAACCATCCTGCTGGAGGTTAAGCCTTTAGCAGTGTGAATTTGAGCAACATAATAATTCATAACAGGGTGATTATGCAAACAAAGTGATTCTGCCTTTTACATTAAACTAGGAGGCAAACTTTATCTGTGAAGAGCCAGACAGTATAAATTTTAGGCTTTTTGAGTCATAAGGATATATGGATTCTGCCAAGCAAAAGCAGCTATAATGTAGCAATGTAAACAAAATACAAGGTGTGATCAAAATGTATGGTGAGGTTTGGGGATATAGCTCAGTGGCATAAGCACCTGCCTGGCAAGTGTAAGGTTCTGAGTTTGAATCCCAGTACCCCCCCCCATGTATGATGAATGTTTACATTTTTAAAAAAAATTTGTTACAGTAAAGGACACATTGTCATTAACCCCCTCAAAACTCTTCCCCTCACTTTGAACACGCTTATCTCATTATTCACGTCACTTTCTGAA